GGAAGCACATAAACATTTAATTTTTAGAAGGTCCCAATCATCTGGCTTCTCTTCTGCTGTTGGTGCATTTTGAATTATGCTTGGTAGTCTATTTATACTCAATTCAATAGTTTTTATATGTAAAATTCACTGATATTCCCCAGTAGTTTAAAAGTCTTTAAAACAGGGGCTTTGCCTTCTTTAAGGAGCTTTGGTGATGTAGTGGTTAAAGCATTTAGCTGCTAACCAAAAGGTCTGTGATTCAAACCCACCAGCTGCTCCATGGAAGAAAGATAAGGCAGTCTGCTTCTATAAAGATTTACAACCTTGGAAACCCAGTGGGGGTTGCTATGGGTCAGAATCGACTCTCGAAGGCAGTGAGCTTGGTTTTTGTTTTTTTGCCTTCTTCATCTTTGTATACATAGCACTTCACAAAGTAAGTAGTCTATCAGTACTCACTGAACTGACCTGCACTGCAAGACTGACACCTTCTCCTTTGCTGGTGCCCTCTGTCTTAAAGGAACAGCAGCGTGGATGAAGAGATTGAGAATCCATACTGGAGTGTGAGAGCCCTGGTGCAGCAGTACGAAGGGCAGCAAAGGTCCCCGTCTGAATCCAGCTGCTCCAGGTAACTGTGGCCTCAGATTCTTTACCATGTATAGCTAAAAGTAAAATTCTTTGTTGGCTGAAAGCTGTATCCCCAGAGATTCTCAGAGTGCTTAGCTTCAAGTAGCAATATAACAAGCTGTGAGGCACCTAAGTCCTCCCTCTTTCCTTTCATTTATGTTTGGCTTTAAAAGGGTAGTGTTCACCACTGCTTTGTGGTTTTGTTGTGGCAGGAGGATGGGCCCCCCCCCACTGGCACATTTCCCATAATTACCATATTGTTCAGAGCCACACCGCCAGTGCTTAGCTGTGACCACATGGTGGCATGACTGAGACCTGTGAGGGATCAGCCCAGTGGTTCTTGCATTTGCATATGAGCTGCCAGAGTTAATAACATCCAGTTCTGTTATACTGTCTTTGAACTTGAGTGTAACTCTGAGTTATTGTCTGACAAGACTGGATAAAGCTTACAGCAAGAGAAAAAAATTAAACATAGTTGTCTGAGAGCATTAGAATGTCTTAGCTTTCATTTTTAAGGCTGGGATTTGTGGCAGGTTAGTATATATTTGAGTGAGCTAATGATGTTTGTGAATCTAGCAGAAAGGGAGTCTATATCTCTTAAAGCCAAGTTCAGAGATCAAAACAGGACACAATGCTGTAATAAAAGCTTGATCAATAACAAGTGTAGTGTAAATCATTCTCCTATAAACACATCCTCAGATCATGTTAGCTTGTTTACTAACTTCATTTTGTGGCTGAATCTTAATTTATGCTTCTACATACTCTCCTTAGTCACGTGGTTAGGTTCCACAGACCAGATTGTTATGCAAAATCTGCATTATGCAAAAATGGAGGATAACCACATCACATCACAAAATGGAGGATGACTACAGCATTATATAACTGCCAAATTACATCATTACATAACTGGCAAACCACTGAGAATGGTAGCTCAGTTGACACATAACCTTAACCACCACAACCAGTGTTACTCTTGCTTCACACTTCAGCATTTGTGGGTTGGTTTTTTACTATTAACATAAATGCAAAATGTCAGATGGAATAGTCAATAAGTGAGAAGGTATATGACCTTTTGTCTTCTACACCAACTTAGTTTATCTGTTCTTTTTTAAAAAAACCAAAATCAAACTCTCTGCCATCGAGTCAGATCTGATTCCTAGCGACCCCTCCTTGAGTTTCCAAGGCGGTATCGCTACGGAAGTAGATTGCCCAGTATTCCTTCCAAAGACTACCTGGTTTGAACCTCCAGCCTTCTGGTTAGCAGTCAAATGCCTTAGGCACTATGCCACCAGAGCTTCTTGTCTTAAATGTGTTTGGTGTATCCTTGCTTTCCTCAAAAAAAAAAAAAAAAAGCCATTCTATTTTGCTGGACCATTTCCTGAATTTATTGAGGTCACATGGAATTCTTTCTAGCATTTCAGTATCACGTAACCTTGATCAGCTTCCTTTTTCACATTTAATAGGTATGTTTTTAAAAGCATTTATTGAGGTAAAATTAGCATAACATAAAATTAAACATTTAACCATTTTAAAATGTACAATTTAAAGGCATTGGTGCATTCATTCATAATGTTATGTAATAATTTCCTCTATCTAGTTCCAAGACATTTTCATTGCCCAAAAGGAAACCATTTACCCATTAAGCAATAGATGTGCTTTTAATGAGAATCTAAACTATTTCTTCCTTGCCTGATGCTTAGACTATAACTTAGTGCAGAGTCAAAGGATGTTTGGCTATATAATGAGATCTATTGCTTCCTGCATGCCTTTCACTCCTCTGAGTCTGATAGTGCCTGCCAGAGTTAGAAAGGGAGAAGTCTGGATTTCTTCCTGAGAGCACCTGCTTCCTTCCTCTGGGCAGGAGGATTCAGTCAGGGGTTGGGGCTGTGAGACAGTGTGAATTAGGGACCCACTGGATATTGGGCTGCACTGGACTGATGGTGACAGTGTTCCAGAACAGGGGTCAGAGGAGAGCAGTTTGCATTTCCCTGTTTTTCACTCCGTTCTTATTTTGCCATTTTCTTCTAATGCTGCCCCCTCACTTTCCTCTTTTTCTCAGTGAGTCCCCAGGGAAGGAGAGGGCTTCCTACCACTGCCTGGTGTATTTTGCTCTCCCAGGCTTAGGGGGAGCCCCACCTTATGGTCTTGTGACCTATGAAGAGGCCGGGAGACTCAGGATGTAGCTCTGGACCAGGAGTGACTCGGAAGATAGGAAAGATAGCCTCTGGTGTCTCATCCCCTTCCCCCTGCACCTCAAGAGTCCTCTGGCCAGGCCCTGCACGCCTGTTGCTTTGTAAACCTCGGGCCAGCCTCTCACTGTATCCAAGCAAAATGATTCTCAGTTGGGAAAAAAGAAAACATGAAACGCAAGAAGGGAAGGTGGGAGGAGACAGGCGGTCGGCGGTTTCCGGAGAAGCCCCTAAGACTTCACCCGCCAGCCTCCACCCTCCCGCAAGGAGCCAGGCCCCGAGCAATATTCGAAGTGAACATATCCAGACCTCTGTGTACATGAAAAGAGGGAGGGGTCGGTTTAGAGAAATCAACGTTTTCAGCCTAAGGTTTTCTTGACAGGGGCCACCAGATCCCTCCACGTGATTCTCCCGACCCGCGGCCTATCCGCGCGCTTCCTATCTGCATCCCCCCACGGCCCCGCCCCTGTCCCTCGGCCCTCGCCCCCCGCCCGCCTTACTTTGCCGGAGCTCCAGTGGTCGGGCGGAGCGCCTGGCTGGGTCCGAGCCCGGCGCTGCCTTGCAGCCTGTGACAGCCTGGGAAGGGAAGGGAGGGGATAAGGGGAGGGGAAAGGCGGCCACGGAGCTGGGATTACTCGCACTCTCGCCGCCGGGTACTTCACCACAGAGCCGGGGCTGCCAGGACCGTTTCTCCCGGTTGGAAATGGGTTGAGATGCCGCCGCCTGGGAGGATGCCCGGAGCTGCACCACAGAACAGACCAAGATGCAGTTGCCAGGGACCCGCAGCCTGCGAAAGGAGGCGGCTTCCGCCGAGGCTGGGCTGTTGCAGTGCCTGAGCAGCTGGGACAGCACGCTTCAGACCCGTGAGCATCCCCATCTCTGGGGCCGAGACGCCTGGCTCCCTGTCCTGCCTACTTTCACCCGCGTTTGGAGCAGGCAGCTCTGGTACTCGTTCTTCAGGCCCCACTACGGGCAGACATGCCCGAATTTGGGAGCGATGTGACTCTGAGCTTGCCACTTCACCCAGGGAAGGAGGTTTGCTGAAGCCGGAGCCAAGAGGGGGACCATGGGAGGGACCCAAGTCAAATGGTGAGCTAAGACCACTTTGGCTTTGGAGGTAGGGGTGTGGGTGGAAGCAGGGCCAGGAGCATGGGATGCTGTTGGCCAGAGACAGACAGGGGTGGGCGCGGGCAGTACACTGGAGATTACAGGCTGCTGCCCAGGGGTGATCACTGTAACATACAGTGGGCTTAGGAAGTGGAAGGAGGAGTGGCCCTTTACCCTGTAGCTGTCTCTGCTAAGGGAGGGGACTTCCCAGAGGACAGGACTTTCTTCCTTACCGTTACTCATTTTTTTAAAAAAATTGATTTGAGTCTAATTTGGAAGAATCTTCGCTGGGAATTACTTGTCTGATAAATTAAGATTGGAGAGATGTTAAACCTGTGAGAGTAAGGAAATGTGTCAGCCTGACCTGATTTGGGATCAGTCATTCCCTGACCCCAGAGAGGATTATCATGGCAAGTACGGGATTATTTGTTTATAAAATAGGGCCTTTAAGCCAGTCAAGGAAGAGTCTAAGCCTTATAATTAATTAGCTTTAAAATACTTTCCTCTGACTTGAGGCATAGGATTTTAAGCTCCTTCTGTATCCATCAGGTGCTTCTTAGGGAGGTAGGCAGACGCCTGCTCTCACAAGGTGCCTCAGGATTTCTCTTCCTTGGGTGATTTATCTTTTGACTTGGCCTCTAGTCTCATGGTCTTACCTCTCTGTGGCCTCTTAGGCAGGCAGCCTCAATTCAAGAAAGAGAAATGTTGTTTTCCTTTGGCTACTCTGCCACTCCTCCAACGCGGTTGGATATCCAGACATCCGCCTCCTTCTGCCCTTATATGGGAGACAGCTCACTTAGGAGGGAGAAGGTGGAGCTGGGCATGCGTCTGTGGAAATACAGCTATGCTTTCAGGAAAACAGTTTTCCAGCATCCTAGGTTCACACTAGCATCCCCGCCCCCCAATACGTCTCACACATACCCACAGTGGCCCAGCCAAAAGCAAGCAGTGGAACATGTAATCCATAGCACCTTGTCAGCTGAGAAAGTGATGTTTTATTCTTCCTCAAAGAGAAACAGCTGTTGCAGGCCTCTTTCTGCACTTGAATACCCGTTTCTGTAAGAAGACAAATGCCTGAATAGTCATAATTCTCTTTTCCTTATAAATGACATAGTATCCTTAGACCTAAGGTGTGTCTGACCCAAGCCGTGATATTTTCAGTTGCCTCATATGCATGTGAAAGCCAGACAATAAATAAGGAAGACTGAAGAAGAATTGATGCCTTTGAATTGTGGTGTTGGTGAAGAATATTAAATACACCACAGACTGCCAGAAGAACAAACACATCTGTCTTGGAAGAAGTATAGGCACAATGCTCCTTGGAAGCAAGGATGGCAAGGCTTCATCTTGTATATTTTGGACACGCTATCAGGCAGACCAGTCCCTAAAGAAGGACATCACGCTTGGTAAAGTAGAGGGTCAGGGGAAAAAAAGGAAGACCCTCTATGAGATGGACTGACACAGTGGCTGCAACAGTGGGCTCAAGCATGGCAACGATTGTGAGGATGATGCGGGACCAGGCAGGGTTTCATCCTTTTGTACATAAGGTCACTATGAGTAAGAGCTGACTTGATGGCACCTAACAGCAAGACTGTTAGACTAGTGCTTTTTCAGAAGCTAATTCATGTTGGCTTGAAAGGCAGATTGCCTTAGTGGTGAAAGATGACTAAGAGAGCTCTATAAAGCTGTCCCCATTTCTGAAGAACACTGCTTTCCACTCTCCACCCTTCTTGCCAGTTCAGGGAAAGATCTATAAAGATGGTTAAGTAACATTCTTTAACTTGAAGAAGAAAAATATTGTTTTTTAAAATTCTGTGGTTCTAATAAGGAAGAAGGGAGCTCTGGTGACGTAGTACCTAAGGCACTTGACTACTAACCAGAAGGCTGGCTGTTCAAACCCACCAGCCACTCCCCAGAAGGAAGACTGGGCAATCTACTTCCGTAGAGATATTGCCTTGGAAACCCAATGGGGATCGCTGTGAATTGGGACAAACTTGATGGCAGTGAGTTTGGTTTTTGTTTTTTTTTCAGTAGGGAAGTGAACGTGTTACTGATTGAGGTCATTCCCACCAAAGCCCTTACATGAATGAGTGGAAGAATGAACTACTAGTCCTTATGCTGTTTCAGAGGTTTGGAAGTCTCTGCCTTCTTCCACTATGCTTGGCTCTGGTTTTTACTGGTTTCTAGGAAGATGAAAGATTAACTCCTGATCTTGGTGGCTGTGAGATTAGCCTGGGAGACTTCAGGGGCACATTAAGTGGGTCAGTGAATCCTAGACACTTTCACTGTTGTCTGGGTGATGGATTTGGAAAGAATTCCTGAGAGGGGGCTGGGCCTGCAGACCCCCGAGCTCCTGAGATTGTCTCAGTGCTCATGTTCTCAAGGTGCAGCATAAAGAAAAATGGCTCTTCAGACAGATGCCTTTTCCCCTATCAGATGGAAATGTCAGCTTCACATTCTCATCCTGACTTGTAGATTCGCTGTCATTTTGGAGATTTAAAATTCTGCATCATTGAAAATCGAACAGTTCCTTCTAAGGGATAGCAGTTATATTCAGAACTTAAGAATTGTTGAGATGGTTCCTAATGACAGTAGGAACGTATTCTGGCAGAGATATAAATGGCTCTGATGGAAGTAAACCATGGAAATGGCAGTTACCTTTCTTTACCATCCTCTCATAGGTTTTTCCCCTTTTGCCGTATTATTCCTCTCTAGCCTGGTATTGTAGGAAGAGAGGACAATCTACTTCTGTAAAGATTTACTGCCATGGAAACCCAGTGGGAGTTGCTATGAGTTGGAATTGACTCAATGGCAGTGTGTTTGGTTTCGGTTTGAGCCTGGTACTCTAAGGAGCTCTGGTGGCATAGTGCCTAAGGCATTTGACTGCTAACCAGAAGGTTGGCAGTTCAAACCCACCAGCTACCCTGTGGAAGGAAGACTGGCAATCTACTTCCGTAAAGATTTACCATCTTGGAAACACAGTGCGGGTTGCTATGAGTTGGACTCGGCTCTGTGGCAGTGGGTTTGGGTTTTTTTTTTTTTCAGCCTGGTATTGTACATAGTCTAGTGATTTCTTCTCTCTGAACACACTTGTCTGCTCATTTGCGATCAGCCCTGAGTTGATTTGCCATGGTCACTCTGGTGGTTCTGTTTTTCTCTGTGACAAATCTGTATTAGAAACAATTTTATTTTATTTTTTAAACAGAATTTCCTTCCAGCTCCCAAAGCTATTAAGACACATACTGCTTTTAGTCACTGAACTGGAGCTGGGGATGGTGGTAGAGGTGGTGGTGGTGATGGGAATTAAAGAAACCAACCAACCCAACATGAGTTCTGTAAATGCTAGATTACCCATCCTTCTGATTAATGACTCTCTCCTCAATGAATTAGGCTTAAAGGCAGGCTTGGTGTGCAAAAGACATTCTGGGATTGGGCATTTCATTCATTCAACAAGTTCATCATTTATTCATTCAACAAATATTTGTTCTTATTGTGGGCCAAGTACTGTCTTAGGCATTAGGAGTAAGATAAATAAGAAAGTTTATCTAGGATGTATTATGAAAGTTGGCTTCTAAACAGAGTTTATGATAAATTTTTTTTTTCCTTTTCCTTCTATCACAGCTTGACTTCACCCAGTCCAATCCACAGTGCAAAGAGTGACTCCATTATCACCCAGTCAGAGGAGAAGGCGGATTTTGTGATTATCCCCTCTGAAGGAATAGAAAACAGAACAGGTGCTGTGTTATCAGCCTGTACTGGTTGGGTTGGGGCATAGACCTCAGATGAAGAGTTTAGTGGTCTGACTATTCACTATAAATTCCCTGGCCTTCTCCCTCTGTCTGTATATGCACGGTCAGCTCTACAGGATTCTAATGCCTTTGGAGCCAATTAATGTGGTTATTTTCTTGCAGAATGTCACTTCTGATGTCCCAGCTGTCAAAAATCTTGCAGCAGCCTAGACAGGCCTTTCCTTAGCTGGCAGCCTGTGAATTAGGAAATGACTTAGGGACAGTCAGAAGCCTTATTTAAGTAAACAATTTTAATTCCTGTTTTATACAAATAAATTTGGGCCAGGAATATATAGTATGAGCAGAGGTGTCTGTGAACATACAGTAGAGAGCAGGCCTACATCAGGCGTGGTACAGAGTAGAGAAAGCACCACAATGAGTTCCCTTTGTTTAGACTTCTCCTGGTTGTTGTTATTAGTGCCACTGAGATGACCATGACTTGTAGTGACCCCATGTGACAGAGGAGAGTTGCCCCGTAGGGTTTTCAAGGCTATAAGCTTATGGGAACAGATTGCTAGGTCTTTCTCCTGTGGAGCTGCTGGCTGGGTTCAAACTACCAACCTGAACCATTGTACCACAGGGCTTCTTTGACTTATCTTTATTCTGTCTTAATTGCTGTCCTTTTTCTTGTATAAACATGAGGGATGCATGGAAGAAGCAAAGCACAAATCTAAAATGATTTAGATAAAGTTTTATTCACCCTTAAGAGGTATAATGAAGCCAAAACCCTCAGAAATAAAACTGGAATTAAATTCTTCCTTACTCTGCATCCCCTTTAGCCCGCCATTAGAACCAAAGGGTCATTCATGCTGCTGAGTCAGAAATCCCGGGGCCCGGGGAGGGAGAGGGAAAGCATTTATTGCCTGCTCTGTGCCACCGTACCACAGGCTGTGCATATGTTACCTCACTTGATCAACAACTTAGAAGGATTATACTTGTTTCATGAATGAAGAAATTTAGAGAATTTGTTATGCTGTTATCCATAAAGTATTTGAAATGGCTGTGTGTACAATAGAATAAAACATGAGAAAACCAGAGCCAAGGGACAGTAAAGGTAGGAAAACAAAACCAGCAGGAGATACTAAACAATTTGTACAAGTATGCTTTTGATAGTTTGTTTCCTTTGTGACTCCAATTGTGAAAGAGGTTCCGTTGTTATGACTGAATGAATGGTCAGAGGAGTATTGAATTGAAGTCTTCCCTCTAAAGCTCCAAAGCAACCAATTGGAATTTTTTTTCATTGCCTCTGACATGACAGCTTCTCTCTTTGTACCTGGTAGAATCAGACTCTGAGAATCCTAGTTCTAGAGAATTAGGAGTGAAATCTATGTGTCTCATACCAAGACTCCCAGGAGGGAGTCTTATTGCTTCCTAAGGGTTCTAAAGAGGATAGATTTCCCTCAGAGAGTAACTGATGCTTCTGTGAGCCTGGTGTTAACAGTCAAGTCTTTATGCCTCACAACTCCACCTTGTGGAGAGTCCAGTTTGTGTCGTGAGGACAGGTTCGGAAAGCAGGTGACCTGAACCTGTAAACGCTTTCTGCCGGAAATTCACATTTCATCAACATGAACTCTTCTCCCGCCTGTCATTTTGCAGAGGAGATAGATTCTCCAGTATCCCGAGACTGGCGACCAGGGAGCCCTGCAACCTATCTGGAGACCTCATGGGAAGAACAGCTGTTGGAACAGCAAGAACATTTAGAAAAAGAAATGGAGGAAGCAAAGAAAATGATATCAGGACTACAGGTAGCTCTTTTCCTTGTAGTTAATTTGTCCTGGTGCACTGATTATTATATTTAAATCACTAGCATCAATGGAAAATAAACTGATTGTAGTTTTACATGAGGTCAAAGTTGAATAGGGAGTTTAGATAAAAGTAGTTGGTATACAGCGAACAGAAAATTCTTTATATGTGAGAACTCCTAACTGGACTTTATGGACTGTTGTTTATAGCAGAACTGGGAAGATTTCAGCAGCCCAGGAGCCATTACTGGCCCCTACCAAATCCTGATTCTGGCTGTCTGCTTCATAGATGAAGCACTGTGAAATATACCTGGTGATACACTGCTACAGACCTCCAATTGCAGCTTTCACCAAAGAATGGCACTGTGAATAGAGATTTTCTCCTATGAATTCTGTAGCAGGAAAGGAGTAAGAGCCAGCAATGCTGCCAGGTTTCCATTTGAGTCTAGCTAAGGGACTTAGCTCACTTCTAATGCATTTGCAAGTGGATGCCAAGATACACTGATCAGGTGTAAATGGTTTTCCTTGAGCAACAAAGCCCTTCAGTTTTTCTTATACCTGTAGTGCCAGCTTGGCCAGTCTTCCCCAGAGATGGCCTGACCTACTTGACATAGTTTTCACTCTGAATGATCCCCCTACTCCTTTCTCTTTGTCTGTCCCTGTTTAGGGGGAGCCCTTGTAGTGTGTTGATGACCCTGAAATTGCCTAGGAATATTCCTTTCTCTTTGTGCTGGGAACAGCACTGCTTCTGAATTGTCAAATATTTATGGACACATAAACAAAGCCCACATTATGTGTGTGCCTCTGGCAGACGGCAGGGGTGGAGGATGTGCTCCCAGCCAGCCAGCAACAGGGTGGGGACACAAAGAGTTCCTAAAGAAAAAAAGGATATTGGTGCTGTGGTAGAGCGATTTGCATAATGTATGCCTCAGGGTTGGAGGAATGTTTACTCCCTAAACATTCCCTAGGAGAGTTGATTTTCCATTTGCTCTGTGTTTTAAAAACGATAATCTTGTTAGGCCATTTAGATCCCTTTTCTCTGACTCCATTAAGCAGTACCTTAATGGAATGGTTCTTTATGCCATGTCTTAATTGGATGCACTCCTTGGAGAACTTTACGATTATACTCAACCAGGATAACCTGCATTATATGAACCCAGATATCCATCAATTTGGCTCTCATTTTGGTTTGCATATCTCCATCTGGGAGAAATCTGATGGCAGATTAGACAGAAAAGGAAAGAATTAACAGGCAGAAAGTCAGTATCCTAACACTCCCTGCGAACAGAGGCGTTTTAATTCACAGCCACATGATCACAATGTGAATTCAGTTTCATTGTAGAATACAAAGGGGCTCACAGCATCGTCTGGGCTTCTTAACTCTTTTATTGATGAACAAGTTGCATGCTAAGCCATATCCAGGATTTCTGACTTATTAGTATGCCTCAGTTAGAGCCCAGTGAACAATCTGCTATTGTTGTTGTTGATGTTATGTGCCGTGGAGTTGGCCCCGTCTCATAGAGACCCCTCCTTGGGTTTCCGAGGCAGTATTACTACGGAAGTAGGATTGCCCAACCTTCTTTTCGAGGAGTGGCTGGTGGGTTTGAACCGCCAGCCTTCTGGTTAGCAGTCAAGTGCTTTAGCCACTCTGCTACCAGAGCTCCTCAATCTGCTATTAGAGCTGATATTTCTGTAATGCTGCTCTCCCTTAGCTCCCTGCAGCCCTACAGCTTCTTGTCCATGTCTGTACTCCTCACCACAGCCCCATGGGATAATCAGATACATTTGGTTTATAAAACTTTATTGTTAATTGGTGCTTGGTAGACTAACCAATGACTAGACTGAACAATGTTCCTTTTATACTAACACTTGTGATATGATTTGTTTTACATTTTTTGAAACAGAATTGGACCTCTGTAACTCTTCTCTTTTGATTGAATTGGGACAGAATCATGGTATAAAATGGGAACACATTTTAAAAATCTTTCATTGAGCTAATGAATCTCCTAATACTTGCAGGGCTAGATCCAAGTTTTGTGGGTCCTACAGTATATACAGTTTGGAGGATTTTAGAATAAAATTTGAAACTCTGAATACAATATTAGGTAGAGGGTCTAGGAAGAGACCAGTACAAATGAGGGACCCTGAAGCTTGAGGTTCCTTAGCTTCCTGGTCAATCTGTCCCACTCTCTATCTGCTGATATACTAATAAACACAAAGCTTGATGTGGAGAGTTGAAATGAATAAGAACAGCTCTGCAAATGTTTTCCTTCTTGTTGTATCCAGGCTGCCTTAGAGAGTAAAAATGCAGAATTATAAAAACAAACAAAAAGGAAACCAAACCTGAGTCAGTGGTATTCCAAATAATTCATTATAATAAACTTTTCTAAGCCTTGATAAGGGAGCTCTGGTTGCATAGTGCCTAAGGCACTTGACTGTTAACCAAAAGTCTGGCAGTTCAAACCCACCAGCCACTCCTAGGAAGGAAGGTTGGGCAATCTACTTCCCTAGTGATACTGCCTTGGAAACCCAAGGAGGGGTTGCTATGAGTCGAACCGACTTGATGGCAAATAACAACAACAATAACAAGCCTTGATAATGTTATACTTTTTTAGTTCACTTTCCAGTTGGTAAAATTCAGTCTGAGCAGCTCTGGTTTGAAATGTATTCTGTCACTTCTGAAAGGAAGGTTTGTTTTTAGATTTTGTTTTGGGGTCAAGGAACGTTGGAGCAAGGGATTCAAGTATGTCCCAAACCTAAAGCATAGGCCATGACAAAGGGAACTCCAGATGATTCCAAGATTAGCAATTAGAGGTATGTAAGCACTCCTCAGAAGGAAGGTTGGGCAATCTACTTCTGTAGTGATACTGCCTCAGAAACCCAAGGAGGGGTTGCTATGAGTCGGATCTGAATTAATGGCACATAACAACAACGACAACAAGCAATACCAGAAGGAGCACTAGTTGCTGTGGTTAAGCATTCAGCTGCTAACCAAAAGTTCTATGGTTTGAACCCACTAGCTGCTTTGCAGGAGAAAGCTATGGCAGTCTACTTCCATAAAGATTACAGCCATGGAAACTGTATGGAACAGTTCTAGTCTGTCCTGTAGGATTTGATGATAGTTGGAATCAACTCAATGGCAGTGGATTTTTAGGAGCAATACTAGTACCAGTTGTCATTGAGGTGATCACTATTCATGGCTACCCATGTGTGTCAGAATAGAACTATGCTCCACAGGGTTTTCAGTGGTTGAATTTTTGAAGGTAGATCACCAGGCCTTTTTTCCAACGCCCCTGTGGGTGCACTCAAACCTCCAACCTTTTGGTTGGCAGTTGAGAGTGTTTAACCATTTGTATCACCCGGGGACTCCATCTAAACAATACTGTTGTTGTTACGTGCCGTTGAGTCAGACTCAACTCATAGCGACCCCTCCTTGGGTTTCCAAAGCAATATCACTACGGAAGTAGATTGCCCCATCTTCCTTCCGAGGAGTGGCTGGTGGGTTTGAACGTCCAGCCTTCTGGTTAGCAGTCAAGTGCCTTAGGCACTATGCTACCAGAACTCCTATCTAAGCAATAGAGGTATGGAAATGGCTTTATTCTTCCTTTACCCATCACCAGAACTACTTGTCCTTTTGCATTCTATGCATCTGTCCATCTACCTAAATGTCCAAAACATAAATCAGGCCATCCTCCTTGAATCTTTTCTCATCCTTCTTTTTATATCCAATAAACCACCAACCAAATTACCAAGGAGATTGCCAGAGGAAGCCAGATTGTCATTTCAATTTGGGGTGAACTCCACATCCAACACTGAGCTGTCAAAAAACAATTCCAGACTTAGTAAAGAGAGACTTTATTGAAAAGGAGAAGAAAGGGACTATAACAACAGGAGAACTCTGGCTGGAAGATCTGCAAGTGTCCCAACAACTAGACAAAAAGGGTTTTTCTTTCAGAAAGAGAGGAGTAGAAAAGGCTAAAAAGAACCAGGTGTGAGGAAATGGGATGAAAGGGTGTTATGTCAGGGAATAAGTAGATCAGAGAATGATTTGTACTGAGGCCAGCTTATTATCTGGGAGGGGTCTTCAGAAGGGGTTGTCTCCTAGCTCAGGCTGAGAGTGGGCCAAAGTTCGGGGACCTGGGGGAAGGAGGGAAGCTTAACCAAAGTTTGGTTAACAAGCATTTTGATTGATCAGTAAGGATAGGCAGTTCAGTTAATCATTTATGAGGCAAAGAATAAGAATTTGGAAGGTCTAATTTACCTTGTGATAGGTAAACAAGGGGGATCTGTGAGTCTTCTTTAAGTCTTGTGGGAAAAGTGGTGCTTTGCAGTAAGCCATTTTCTGGAATGGGGGTGGGGAGGATTTCTTAACCTTCACTGTTTTCCAAGATCACAGGGCTCAGGTATAAAATTAAACATTGCCAGAGCTAAGTCATCTGTTGGGGAATTAAATTTCTTTCTACTTTGTGGTTATTCAGGCCTTACTACTCAATGGATCCTTACCTGAAGATGAACAGGAGAGGCCCTTGGCCCTCTGTGAACCAGGAGTCAATCCTGAGGAACAATTGGTGAGCTGTCTCTTTTGTGAATGGACACGAGATAATCTGGCTTATGTATTTGACTTATTTTTTAGCATTTGACACTGTTGACCACACCTTCTTCTTTTTTATTTTTATTGTGATTTGGGTAAAACAAATTCATTTTCCATACAGCAGTTCATACACATTTCATGACATGGACTGCAATTCCCTACAGTGTAACAGCTCTCTTCCCATTTACCTCTTCCTTGTGTCCTTCCTTCCTATGCATTCCTGCCCCCTGACCTATCTTCCTGTGCAAGTACTGTTCTTCTATTGTCCTATGATTGATCGTTCTAAGGAGTGTATCTACCTGATATAAATGTTCACCCTATCTGCCTGTCTTTTGTTTGGCTGGAAGCCACGGGAGTGAGTTCAATTCCAGGCTTAAAGGTAACTAGGGGCCATGGTCTCAGGGGTCACATCAGGCTCTATCAGACCAGTAAACCTGGTCTTTTTATGAATTCGAGTTTTGTTCCACATTGTTCTCCCACTCCAGGATCTCCTGCACTGATCCCTTTCCGAGTGGTTGACAGTGGTAGCCGAGTGCCAACTAGTTCCTCTGGTCTCATGGTCATATAGGCTGAGGTTCACATGGTCCCCTGGTCTCTTGGACTGATTGTTTCCATGTGTCTTTGGTTTTCGTCATTCTTTCTTGCTCTGCATGAGGAGAGGCCTGACCATACGTTCCTGAAATGCTCTTTTCCCTGATCTCAATTCTCCTGAATTTCCTACCACCTTTTTGACCGCTAAGGAGGTGGCACAGTGCCTAAGACACTTTGACTGCTAACCAGAAGGTTGGTGGTTCAAACCTACCAGCCACTCCATGGAAGGAGGACTGGGCAATGTACGTCCATAAAGATTTATTGCCTCAGAAACTCAATGGGGGTCGCTATGAGTCAGAATCAACTCTATGGCAGTGGGTTTAGTTTTTTGTTTTTTGACTACTGTTTCTTCCTTCCTTCCTCCCTTCCTCCCTCCCTTCTTTCCTTCTTTCCTTTCATCCATCCATCCATCCATCAACAGATATTGAGTGCTCAGCATGTGCCAAGGTGCTAGAGGTAATATGGTAGTGAATAAAACAGACCTGGGAGTTCTGGCAAGATGGCGGACTAGGCAGAAAGACCGCACAGACCCTCTTCAATAAAGAAAAGGGAAACCAATTAACACAGACACAGAAGATAATCTTGGACCCTGAGCCTTAAAGGGAAGGATATAGAAGTGGACTAAACCCCATTTAGCAGAAGAATTTGTGTGAAAATACCGAAAAAGGAGACATACGGAGCTGCGGTCAGGCAGCGATCCTGAGCGATCCTGACAGCGCAGACATCTTGGAGATTCCCGAGTGGAGGTAGGACCTAAGAATTAACCTAAAAATCAGCCCTTCTAGCAAGGGACTACACGGAGGACTGTGCATGGTGGCTGGGGAATAAATGGAGAAGGTGAAGAGAAAGGTTGGCTGAGCTGTGGACTTTTGCTGGTCCGGAGGGCACCACCATTTTGAAGGTTAAAAAGCGGCTTGACTATTTTGGATTTTTAAAGAGACAGTGCTCTCGTGGATTCCTAGGGCTTAAGAACACATTCTGCTTTCCAGCAACCCCAAGGACACTCCGGACCTGCAAGACTGAAAAGGTACCACATTCCTCTTGTTATTCTTATACCCCACACTCGCTTGGTGAACGGAGGTGCAGCCATCCCCTACTCCCACCTACCTTCTGGGCCCACAGGAACTCCATCACAGTGTAGGTGCTCAGACGGAGCCTAGGTGCCCTGCCCTGTCCTGCACCGATTTTTTTTTTTCTCTTTTTCGCTTTCTTTTTTCTGGTGATTAGTTTGCTTGTATTTGTCTGTTTTAAAACACCTATTATTATTAATACTTTTGTCCTTTTTACTATTATTCTTAATCTTCCCCTCCCAGGTCCTAGTTTTCAGCACTTTTTCTTTTCCTGTTCCTGGTTGAATTTTTTTTTTTTT